AGAGCGGTTTTGAAGCTCAAGTCTGGCTATTGCCATATCGGTAGTGTTTCACTCTGCCTGCTACGGCTTTTCTAAAAATGTCACGGAAGACGAAATTTGTTATAGAGACCAAACCAGTTTTTGTTCCAAGGCTGTAAACATATATATTTAGTTGTAAAGTTGGGTATTTTTAATATGGGGGTTTATGGGGATTGACTCCCTTTTGGAAACGGCCTCAAGTGGCCATTTGAGGCCCTGCAGGTTTTGGCAGTTAAGCATTGGCGTTCTCAGCCTCAAAGGTTGCTGCTTGAAGGATACCAGTACTTTTAGATATTTCTGTATTTCTTCTTGTGGTAATGATGACAAGGAAGTAGTTATATATGAGTATTTGTTGCATATATCAAGGGGTTAAAAGGATCAAAGGAAGGATGGGAACATGTGGCCCAGATAAGTAGAAAAATAATCTGCATAGTATTTGAATTCAACACGTGTCATATACAGTATATACCCCCTATTTGTGGTCAGCCTGCTTTCCACTAGCATGAAAAACAATCCTCCCCACAGTTTATTTGGCAGCCTACTGAAAGACATGTTTTTTATGTGCCCTTTGTGCAGTTGTGTGGCTTTTGCCAGGGTTCTGATAGTCTCAGGGAACTTAGCCTGAACTGTTGGTTTCATAAAAAAAATTATCTCTCACAGTATTCAGACTGTAGTGCATTTCACAAGTGAACACAAGGTTGTACACATACTCTAAGTACATAAAACATGCTGGAATATAGGTTAAAGCAGTGACAGATCTGTACACACTTCTATCCATCAAGTGTCATCAGGTGGGTTCACCTGTCGTAGTAACACTGTCTTACTCTCATCTTTCTGTGCAGTGGAGGAATGACTTTGTGAATGGTTTGGTGAAAATCCCCAGTTCCCATGAGGCTCAAGAAGAGTGCCTTGGTATGGCTGTACTCGACATGACAAGGACAGCTAAGGAGAGAGACATGTCGCCTCTGGACATCTACCACACTATAAGGTACAACAGATAACCAAAGGCAATGTTTGATCTGATTTTTGGCAGATTATCTGGAATGAACACCTACTATGCACTACTTGATGTGATGTTCTAATTTTGTGCCCATACAAACATAGATTTTTAGCACTTGTTAATCTTGTCTTAACAGACACACCCATGCAAGGACTTTGCCAAAATGATATAGTCTGGAATTATATAGCAGGATTCAAATCAATTAGAGAATATGTCAACATAGCATTGAGTGCCATCTTTTTTTTTGATTCTCTGCATTACCGGTCTTTTCATTTCTTCTTTATATGTGCAACAGTGTTGTATGAGGGCGGTAATAGACTTGAGACAGATGTGTTATTCTGATGCTGATACAAAAATCTGCTTGAACCTCTTACAGCTACAAGTCCTTCCTACCAAAAGACATGAGAGCTCAGATCCAAGACCGCAACTTCTTGACACGCAAGCGAATTCGCTTTCGATTCAAGCGTTTCATCCAGCAGTTTAGTCAGTGTCGGACTACAGTGCGCGATCTCAAGCTTAAGTACCTCATCAGCATAGAGTCTCTGGAGAAGGCTTTCTACACGGAGACCTTCCAGGTCAGGGACCCCTCCAGTGGGCAGCTCATGATCCTGGTGGCAGCGGACACTGGCATCCAGTGGTGTAGAGAGAAATTGAAAGATTCTGAGCAGGTTGGTACCGTGAATACTATCATTACGTTTGCCTTTTTTTTTACTGTGATAAAACTAACTTTGGAAACATTTCCAGTGTTGCACTTCCCTTATCACCAGCATAAAAGGACCTACTAGACAAAAGGTTCCTAAATGTCACCCAAAAGGCTAGAGAAAGAAATAAAACAACTGAATCACATTCCAAAGCACGTGCAGTGTTTCATTATTAAAGTACATTATCCACATTAATTTTAATGAGTGACAATAACCCTTTGCAACATGCCTTTGAATGTTTTTGGACCACAGTAGAGTTCTGTTGCTTTAAGGCATAAGCTATATCAGCCTGTTTGTGGCTACATAAAGATTTTTTTTTTTTTTTTAATTGTTGGCGTTTGTAATAAAATATGAAGTGTAATATTTTTTTATTTGGTCATTCTGTTTGGGCAGGAGCTGCAGACCTTGTGTGACTTTCCTGATGTCGCTGACATTAGCATCAAACAGGTTAGCAAGGAGGGTGCTACAGAGAGTCGGGTGGTCACAGTCAACAAGCAAGATGGCAAGAATCTGGTAATTTTACCATATAAACTTCCGTCTGTTCTCTGTTGTCAGCAGAGCAAATACTGTGAAGCAACTACTTTTTCATTTCAGGTGTGCAGCTTGTTTGACTTACACCACTGTATCTGATAATCTAATCTTGTTTATGTGCTCTATGGCTTTTCATACATTTCAGGAGCTTGAGTTCCCCAATCTATCTGAAGCACTCTCTTTTGTGTCCCTCATTGACGGCTACTATCGTCTGACTACAGATGCACATCATTACCTTTGTAAAGAAGTGGCACCTCCTAGGCTTGTGGAAGCCATCTCGTCTCGTTGCTATGGCCCCATTTCGTAAGTGAAGAATAACAAAGCTTAATTTCTATTTTACCAACACCATTAGTAAGGCCTGGCACTTCTTCAAAAAGTCCAGATTGAATGAATAAGAACTTGCATATAATTTGAATCAATTTGAATGCATGCAGGATTATCCTAAATGTTATTGAAATGACATGTTATAATAATTTGTGGTACCTCCACTACCTCACTCATCTGCTAACAGAGAGATCACTTCTCAGATTTGTGGCTCCACCACCTGACTCTTCAAAACCAACTGACAAACCAGCAGTTATGTCCTCTTCCCCCAGTAGATTAGTCAAACACAAGAGCAAATAGTCACTGCTGCAAATAACTTTCTTTCCATTTCCCTCATTCCTCCTTCTGCTATGTTTTTGTGTGGAGCTGCACCAGTCACCTTTGCATTGGCAGCACTTATTGTTGTTTAGTACAAAATGGTTATACAGGAGGAATATACTACCTTTATATACTATCCTAGCAGGTAATACTGCAGCTGTTCTGACTAAACTGCATGTTGTGTGTGTTTTTTTTGTGTGTGTGTGTGTGTGTGTGTGCGCGCAGAATGGAGTTTGCCATCAGCCGGCTTCAGAGGTGTGGAAACAAGCGGGGGCTGTACATTGTGAGATGTAGCCCTAAAGATTTTAACAAGTATTTTCTGACTTTCCCTGTTGAGGTAGGTAACACTACAAAAGGGCAGTCCTGAACGGGGTTAAAAAAACAAAACAAAAAGCTAATAAGTTATGTTTTGTTTGTTTTTTTTTTGTTTTGTTTGTTTTTACAAAACAACAAAAAACAAAACAAAAAGCTAATAAGTTATGTTTTTTTTTTTTTGTTTGTTTTTTTTGTTTTTTTGTTTTTAGGTCCTTCTGCACTGTTGTTCTGAACATGGTTGAATTATCTCAGCAGGCATTCTGCCAGCTTTCACTACTTGACAATTGAAATACTCAACACTCTAGACAAATATTGGTCGTACAGATTTATGCTAGTTTTAAGCTTCACCCTGTGTGTTTTTATTGTAATCTGAAACCTCATCTGTTGTCGTGTTCAGAGTGAGATTTTTGGAATTGTGTTAGTGTCATTTCTATGACTGAAACTCAAAATTTGTTTCTAATATCTTCCCTCTCTCAACTGTCTACCAGGTGTATGATGCTGTAGAATACAAGCACTGCCAGATAACCAGGTCTGCCAGTGGGGAATTTAACCTCAGCGGAACCAAAAGAAACTTCAGCAGCCTGCAGGAACTACTTAACTGTTACCAAAAAGAAACCGTGCGCTCTGACAGCATCATTTTCCAATTCACCAAGTGCTGTCCACCTAAATCCAAAGGTAAAGCTAACATAATCTGGATTTATTCAGAGGATGTTTTTGAGAGATTAGTAGACATTAGCATTGATGTGTGCTACTACTATATGAACAAATGATGAAGGGAAAATGGTAAATATCCTAAGAGGGAAATCTGTTTTTATCCCTGTTTAATCAGGGATTTATCAGCAAGCACCCTGCTAGTTTACACACTGGGTCTCTCCATTAAACGTTTGTATTGGGCTCTTCAAACTAATGTATAAGCACGGTAATTGAACTGGAACGATCAGGCCCATGTTGATGGGTCTGCAGATGTATGGTTTTTAGATGTTGCTGAATAAAGAAAGAGCATTTTGGTTTCCTGATAAGAGACTTTGTCCCCGAAGAACAAATCAACTACCATACAGATTTTTACTCCTATTTTAAGTGCTGGCTCATCAGCAATGCCAAGGGAGAGCACTTTTCATCAAACTAACAGCCAGGATGACTCAGAGGTGCCTCAGACCGCCTGCTTTCATAATGAATCAAGAACTGGTCTGAGCTAGAAATTTGAAAAACATGTAGATTCCTTTCCACAGAAACTGATGATGAAGAAATGCAGCATGTCACATACAGTATTTCATCTCTGACTCACATTGTCATTTCTTAAGTTTCTCTGTCAGTTGTACTCTTTAAGTGTGGTCACTTTCAAATTGAAATTATAATGTATCTGCTTTCATATAAGATCATCTTCTTTTCTTTCAATCTCAGAAAAGTCCTGCCTGCTCGTGTGCAGGAGCAACAAGGGCTCAGAAGTGCCCCTGTCTCCGTCACTGCAGCGACACACCATCAGTCAGATGGTGTTTCACAAGATCAGGAAAGAAGATCTGGAATTTGTAAGATCATTCTGCATGTTCAGGACTATGTCTAACTGTTCTGTACATGCATGTGCATTTGCTTCTGCATTAATATGTTGAAGTTCTGTATTACTCTACTGTACTGTTCATTTTTCCAGCAAGTCTAGCTGTGAATCAAATTAATATCCTGCTAAGGCTTTGTAATTAATGTTTTTGATGTGCAAAAATGGCCTTCCTTTTCAGATGGAGAGTCTTGGTCAAGGGACATTTACCAAGATCTTCAAAGGAGTCCGTAAAGAGCTCGGAGACTATGGACTTGTGCACAAAACAGAAGTTGTCATGAAAGTGCTGGACCAGGCCCACAGGAATTACTCTGAGGTCTGTGGCTCTAAAGCTGTGCAAACTTTTTGTGTGCAGGGAAACCTGGTTATTACCGCCACTAATTGGTTATTATTAAGCATGAAAAAGTAAGTGATATTGAAAGTTAAAACTGCCATTTCTTTGTCATTATGTTATGCTGGGTTTTTATCATTAACAGTTTAACAGGTTTAGTTAGAGTGCTTTGAGTAGGTCTGGGTATCAACACTGAACTCTGGAATCATTTTGATTCAGCTCAGTTTGATACTTAACAATTACATCAGATAAATACCAGTACTGCCATAAGCATGTGTCAGAATTTTTCTGGGAAAACTTCTATTTCTTCTACATTCAGCAAGTGAGCAGCACATGCAATAAAAATTGTCATGTGCATGTTATCAGCTAAATTGTAATTCCAGTTCCCAGTCATTTAAAAAAAAAGTTTTCTTTGGAATAGCAAAACAACTAAAATATGACATTAATATTGTTGGACTTACATGTGCATCCAAAACCTGCAACACTTACAAGAGCATCATCATTATGCATATTTTAAAGAAATAATTGCCCTCCAATACAGCCTCAACATGGCTGTCAGCAGCAGATGCTTCAGCTAAATACAGACATCCACTTTAATAATCACTCTGAGCACAGACAGGGCAGAAACCTATCTGCAGGCAGCTTAGCTTTCCAGCAGGGGCAGACTCAATCAAGTAGGTACCTTGAAAGGCTGTGGAGTAACCAAATGCATTTAAAAGACAGTATTTTCATGTTTAGAATGTAAATAACACACAAATATGGTTACGCATTGATATCTTGGCTTCACTTCCGCATGGTGGAGGGAAGTGGTGACGATCATATTTATATACAGTCTATGGATGGATCACCTGAGTGTAGCTTTTAGTGGAAATGGGCATATAAATAATTTGTTCTTCTACCTTTGTCTTGTCCTACAGTCTTTCTTTGAAGCTGCCAGCATGATGAGCCAATTGTCCCATAAACACCTGATCCTTAACTATGGTGTGTGTGTCTGCGGAGAGGAGAGTAAGTCTGCTTTAGAGAGACACAAAACTTCTCTCAACTCATAAGCATACTATATGTCCTCAGATGTCCACACAGCACCCATCTGTTTGACAGACATGAGCTTGGTGCATTTATGGTTATAATGCTGTTAAGAATCTGCCATGCTGTAATCTTGCCCAGCCTCTATTAGCATGAAGCATGGTGGGCTGCTCTATGGTTACATTACCCTGCCTCAGAACCTCATCCATTTGCCCCAGCCTCTCTTCACCTCATAAGACGTGGCAGTTTTTTAAAGGACAGACAATGTATGTTTACCAAACACACAGCAAGGTTGGTGGAGTTGGCAGAGCATAGCACGTACCACATGCTACTGTTGTGGTAACGTTACAACATGTGAGTCACAGAGATGAGCGCTTTGGCATAGTGGTGGGAGTAGCAGCTTTATGAACAGAGCCAGATCTTATGGCACTGTTCCTTTCATAGCATTCCTTTTTTTCTTCTTCTTTACAATACATTTGTGGTGTAATTAAGTGCTGAAATTGAGTGTCTGTCAGTTTTACTTAGATACACAGCAGCAGCACTCAGCTATTTTCACAGCTACTATGATTTCCTTAGTGCGTTTCAGTATGGTGTATGAGCTTTTAATTTCACTGTACTACTACTGTTCATATTGCCTAACAATAATAATGCCAGTAAAATGAAAAATAAATAAATCCCTACAAATAGTGGGAATCCAGAAATGCAAAGTTGTTTTGTCCTTACATTTATCTTCTTTTTGAGTTGTGGCTAAATAAATTTAAGTAGAAAATAATAAATTCACATTTTAAGGTCAAGGTCAAAGTGTTGATTCGTCCTATGCACAGTTAGGAAACGTGTTTCCCTGTACAATGAACAGTGGTAGAAGAACATTTGAGATTTGTTAATTATGTACAAGTAACAGTATCGCAGTGTAAAAATACTGTTACAAGTAAATGTCCTGAATTCAAAATGTTACAGGTAAAAGTACAAAAGTATTAGCATCAAAATATACTTAAAGTACCAAAGTAAAAGTAGTCATTACACAGAATGGCACTGTGGTAGGTTTCAGGCCTACATCCCACCACTGCCACCAAATGTGGTAGGTTGACTCTGAGTGGCCAGGAATGTAGGAGACAGACTCGAAAAAGACATCAGGTTTTCTCAAATCAGTCATTTATTTTAAACAAGTGCCAGCAAAGCACACATGCCAAACAAAATCACTAAACAAACTAAATGGTTTAACTTCACATAACTGAAGAAAACTCAACGCAACTTACAGGCACGTGCACACCACTACACTTAGACTGCAATACTACCAGCTGCTCCACCTCAGCTGATTAAGTAGCTCCTGGTACCAATCAACCCTATGACATCCTTGATGACATCAGAGAGCATACAAAATAAGGAAGTGATTAACCTAGTAAATACAATCAAACATTTAACACACAGGTTAAGACATTAAAAAACATACATGACTTAACCTAGGGACAAGTGGAGTGTTCTCACCCACTTTGTCACAGGCACAATTAACATTAATGTATTTGATATTATTAAATGATAATTATTGATGCATCATTGTGTTCCCTCAGTGGAGTAAACAAATAAGAAATAAGAACTTGAATTATATTGTGATAATTATTGGCATTGATATGAAAATTATTGCGATAAAACATTTTGTTATATTGCTCAGCCCTACATGAAACTTGATATGTTGAAAACTTGGCTTTTAATCACAAGAAAATTAATAGATTTTTAATTTAAAATCTGAAAAATAATTATTTCCTTCAGACATCATGGTGCAGGAGTATGTCAAGTTTGGCTCACTGGACACCTACTTGAAGAAGAACAAGAACTCAATAAACATCCTGTGGAAGCTTGAAGTGGCAAAGCAGCTGGCCTGGGCCATGAACTTCCTGGTACGAATCCATGTAGTGTCAGATTATATGCCTTGAGCAGCCATTCATGAAGTGTAGATGAATATCAGTTTGTGGGTTGCTTGCAGCAGTAGTTTTTATGGCTGATTCCAATGTTAACGCTTTTATTTGGGCACACAAATGGTAATAAAAGCAGAAATAATTTGTGAGAAGAAGCTTAATGAAGTATTGGTAAGAGACTGATAAATCTTTCTTTTTCTCTACTTTCAGGAGGAAAAGCACCTTGTTCATGGGAATGTGTGTGCAAAAAATGTTCTTCTGATCAGAGAGGAGGACCGGAGGACTGGGAACCCCCCCTTTATAAAACTGAGTGATCCTGGCATCAGTATCACTGTCCTTCCTAAAGAAAGTGAGTTTATGTCCACATCGCATTACTTGTCTCTTGTGTGTTGCTTAGTTCAGAAACAGGTCAAATGAATGTAGTATGCTATTAAAATAAAGTATTCTTTTTTGTGTGTTTTTATTGGTAGCCAC